AGATGTAGGAACAAGGTAGAGACAGAAGTGACATTTGGGATCTGCAGCAGGAAATGAACTCAGCTGTATCAGTGGGAATGAGATGCTTAAAAGTAAAATGAAGAGTTATCCTACGCCAAGCATAAGTAGGCCATTAATAAATATTACTGAATTAGATGTGAAATATGAGGCAAAAAAGGCTTGGGGTACAATTTCCAGAGAATGGGCACAGAAGGAGGAGTGGGGATTTCAGGGGTGTTGAAGTGCGGATTGTAGGGGTGTTGAGTGGGGATTTCATGACTCATTTCTGAACCTTGTTTAAAATCCAAGGAATATAAAAGTGTCGAGGAATTTAAGAGTCTGAGGCCCAGGAGAGGCCTGTGACCAGAAAAAGAGATGGGGCTATTATATCAGACTGGAGAAAGAAATGCGTGCAGAGGAAGGGTCTGCCAGAAAAGTACAGCGTGCACAGAGGAAAGGGAGTGGGGCTAAAGGAAGAGATGACCCTCGGGAGACGAGAAGGAAAGGCCAAATGGAAAGAGGAAACCAGAGAACATCCTTCTGGAGGAGGCAGGATGAAGGAGGAATTCACGAGGGCAGGCACGGCAGCGGAAGCGCTGTTGAGAGATCATGATGTGTGTTCAAAAACTTGGGAAACGGAGTTAAGCTTACGAGTAGTATTTTTTAAAATGTTAGTTCCATTTTCAAATAATAGCCTAAATGTGCTTTTCTCCAAATTCCAGTCACTTTTAGAGATGAAGTGCTTCTAACTTCTAAACAATTATTTGTTTAAACAATAATTAAACTTGTTTAAGTATTTTAATTAATTATTAGTTAATTTAAATTTAATTACTGCTTAAGCTTTTAAGCAATAATTAATCTAATTATTTATATAAAAACCACAGCGACTTCATCATAGAATGTCTTAAAGTCAAATATAAAATCGTCAGTCTGTGATTTGCAGAGGAAAAAATGGAGCCTATTATTTGAAAACAAGACTAGCATACTGTTTACAAATAAATGTAACCTCTGTTTCTTGACATTTTTAAAAACCTTTAGGATAAAAAATGATACAGATCCAATGAATTGATGAGGGCCGATTCCGTAGAGTGGTGGGAGGAAATGGTTTCCAGAGTCAATGGAGGTAAGGAGGGGAGCCAGCACAAGTGGGCATCCTATAGTGAGGGTTAGCTTGGGTCATAGGAGGTAGGAGAGCTTTAAAAAAAAACTATTTTCACTTTTACAGTTTTAATTGTTTAATTGACACATGTTAACTTATCATTTAAATACGTGTACACAAAGCCACCATCACAACCAAGATAATGATGTATCCATCTGTCCCAAGATGGCCCTCTTTCCCTTTATAATTGCTTCCAACCCCCTCATCCTTGGCTAATAACTGATATAATTTAAAAAATCCAACAACACAAAAAACCCTCAAACCAAACACCTGTTGTCAGTGAGTCAATTATGACTCATCCCTCCCCTACAGGACCGAGCAGAACTGCTCCAGAGAATTTCCAAAGCTCCGATCTTTATGCGCTTGAAGCTTTGCTGATGAAGCAGAGATTGCTGCCTTTACTATGGGTTCAAACTCAATGTAAAGTAAACCAAAATCTTCACAAGTCGATCACTAGGGTAACATGATAAAGGAGAAAACACTGACGTTTTCAAGGATTTCATCTTGCTTGATCTACAATCAGTGTGCATGGAAGTAGCAGTTGAGGGATCAAAGGACATATTGCTGTACAAGATCTTCTAAAGCGTTGAAAAGCCAGAATGCTAGGACTAAGGTGCACCCGACCCAAGCCGTGGTGTTCCATTGACGCAGATGCAAGTGAAAAGTGGATGCTGAATAAGAAGACCGAAGAAAATTGATGCATTCGAATTTTGGTGAAGTCTATTGAAAATATCCTAGACTGCCAAAAGAACAAACAAATCTTTCTTGAATGATGTATAGCTGAATTCTTAGAAGCAAGGATGGTGAGACTTTGGACATGTTAGCAGAGACTAGTGACATCATGCTTTGTAAAGTAGCAGGGCAATAAAAAACAGAAGCCCCTCAACAAGATGGATAACATTTTAAGGATCTACCAAATTGTTTTCTAAAATTATGTACCATGC